CCTTTGAATAACCCCCTGGGAACTTTAACCTGCATCTGAAACAGGCAAGTGTGTTGTGTAGCTTCTCAACCAAAAGACGGCACCTCAAAGATGCAACACTTCCCCCAGTACTGCGTTGGAGTGTCGGCCTTCAGACTAAAGTGGTCCTAACACGAGGCTTGAGCCCACAACCTTCTGATTCAGAGGCGAGAGTGCTACCAACTGAGCCAGGCTGGCACACGGGCACGGTCGGAGGCAGGCAATGTGACGGAGATGGAGGAAAGGGGACCTGGTCAGGGATTGGATGTGAGATAGGAACGACAGCTGAGGGGAGGAAAACCTGACACCTGGGTCACGCACAGGTTTTGCAAACCTGAGGGACAGACCGTGGAGGTTGAGGAGATCATAATAATAATAATAATCATAATCATAATCATAGCTGCTGGTGAGAAGAGATAGATTGGATAAACTAGCTGAGCCACAGGGAGCCCTGTGTGAATGACAACAACAACAATAATAGTCTTTGCATTTGATACGGCGCCTGATCACGTTCGAGACGTCTCAAAGCGCTTCACAGGATACACTGCCAAGCGAATTGACTGTATTTTTTTGTGGGCGAAACGCGGCAGCCAATTGCGCACCGCGGTGTCCCCACAAACAGCTGCGGATCGAGCGACCAAATTATTATTGATTTTTTTTTAAGGGGATTATTATCCCTGGAAAAGAGATCCGCCAATCGACTAACCACTGGGTTCCTATATACTGCGAGGTCAACAGAGGGGCGTGGAGGAAGGAAAATTGCCCGATGTTTTTGTCCTGCCCGGGTTCCAGTCGCAGTATGTAGTGTGTGTGTGAGAGATTCTCAGTCACTCAGCTCTGCTCTGCTCAGCGACTGAGGGGCGGCTGATTGTGACACTGAGAGGCAAAGGTGCTGTGGGTTTTCGCTCCGATCCCATGGTTTCCCTCAGAGATATAGACAAACCTCAGCAAATGAAACAGATATCAGACACTAATGATAGCAGTCACCAGGGGTCTATATGAGTTGGGGGAGAGGGGTGTGGGGTCAGAGTATAATAATACTATAATAATAATCCTTGCATTTGATACAGCACTTTTCACATCTTCTCAACGTCTCAAAGTGCTTCACAGAATACGCTGTAAAGTGAATTGACCGTATATTTGTGGGCGAACGCGGCAGCCAATTGCGTACAGCAGCGTCCCCACAAACAGTCGTGGATTATTATTAGGCTCTGTGTGGAGTAAGGAAACTTGCCCAAGGTTTCGCCCTCTGCCTGGAATTGAACCCAGGTGTCTCGCTTGCAAAGCGAGTACTCTAACCACTGAGCAACAGGACTCCACTATAATGTATCTGCACATTACAACTTCAGGCCTTTTGTGATTGTTTCTGTGTAAAATCCTCTAACGTAGACACTCGTGCAAAACAACCACAGGCCTGTCTGCCAACACTGCTCTGCTCTGCAGTGTCACCTTAGATCAGGGGTAGATCGGAATGGGCGTCACTTGAGACGTGAGCAGTAAATACAGCTCCTTTACGTCCCTCAATTAAACTGCGGTCGGTCCACTGGTTAATTGTACTATCTGCTTGTACAGCCTTGCACCAAGGTGCGTGCGTTCCATGGGGCATGACTCTTCGCCAAAGACCCTCACTCGCACAAGGGTCTGGCTCAAGCAGCTGGTATCCTGATTAAGCCTATACACAGCATTGGGCTTGGACCTTTGGAGCATCAAGGAGCCATGTCACAAGCTGCCCTGTAAAGGTCCTCCCACCGCACTGAAGGCAGATGTTCAGTCAGATAGCTGATAATAGTAATCCTTGCCTATGATATCACGTCTTCGGGACGTCTCAAAGCGCTTCACAGAACATACTGTAAAGTGATGAGGAGTTTCTGAGGCTTGGAATGACAGCTGCTGGAAGGCATTACCTGGAGTCTGAGTTTGTGAACACACATTCAGATGTGCTGGAGAGTCCCAAAACAGAATCTATTTGGTTAGAGTTAAGGAACAGAAAAGGAGCTGTTACTCTGTTCGGCGTATATTATAGACCATCGAATAGTAGGAAGGAGATAGACGAGCAAATCTGCAGCAGATTTCAGAAATATGCAAAACCAATAGAGAAGTGATAAAGGGGGACTTCAATTATCCTAACATAGACTGACAAAATAACAGAAAAAGGAGGTTTTTGTTAAATGTCAGGTTCAAAATACAGAAGATAATCAAACAGAGTATAGAAAGTACAGAGGAGAACTAAAAAGGAAATAAGAGATGCAAAGAGATTGTATCAAAAAAGATTAGCGGGTAACGTAAAAGGGAACACTAAGGTATTTTATAAGCATATAAAGAATAAAAGGTTAGTCAAAGGTAGGGTGGGTCCAATTAGGGACCAAAGGGGAAATCTTCTTGTGGAGGCAGAGGGCGCGCCTGACGTACTGACTGAGTACTTTGCATCTGTCTTCACAAAAGAAGAGGATAGAGCCAATGCCACAGTATCGGAGGAGAGGGGAGAGAAATTGGACAAGATAAGAATAAACCGAGAAGAGGTACTAAAAAAGGTTATCGGTGCTCAAGGCAGATAGGTCAACCGGTCTGGACCGGATGCATTCTAGGTTACTGAGGGAAGTAAGGGTGGAAATAACGGAGGCTCTGGCCACGATCTTTTAATCATCCTTGGACACCGGGGTGGTGCCAGGGGACTGGAGGGTTGCAAATATTACTCCCCTGTACAAAAAGGGGCAGAAGGATAAACCCGGGAACTCCAGGCCAGTCAGCCTCACGTCGGAAGTGGGGAAACTTCTAGAGACTATAATCCGGGACAAAATAAATTTTGACTTCGAAAAATATGGGTTAACAACCAACACAGGTTTGTTAAAAGCAAATCGTGTCTCACAAACCTGATAGAATTTTTTGATGAAGTAACGGAGAGGGGTGGATGATTTTCAAAGGCGTCTGATAAAAGTGCCACATAGACTTGTAAGCAAAATAGAAGCCCACGGTATTAAAAGGACAGTGGCAGCGGATACAGAACTGGATGGGAGACAGAAAGCAAAGAGTAGTGGTGAACGTTAGTTTTTCTGACTCGAGGGAAGTGTGCAATGGTGTCCCCCAGGGATCAGTATTGGGACCACTGCTGCATAGATCTATATAAATGACCTGGACTTGGGTATAGGGAGTACAATTTCCAAGTTTGCAGATGATACTAAGCTGGAAAAGTAGTAAACAGTGAGGAGGATAGTAGTAGACTGCAAGAGGGCACAGACAGACTGGTAAAACGGGCAGACACGTGGCAGATGACATTTAATGTGGAGAAATGCGAAGTGATGTATTTTGAGAGGAAGAATGAGGAGAGGCAATATATCAACAACAACAACTTGGATTTAATAGAAGTTTTCAAAATTATGAGGGGATTCGATAGGGTGAACAAGGAGAGACTATTCCCGCTGGCGGGTGGGTCGGTAACCCAAAGGCACCGATTGAAAAGAGTTGTCAAAAAAAACAGAGGGGAGGGGAGGAGAAATTTTCTCACACAGTGAGTTGTTCTGATCTGAAATACATTGCCTGAAAGGCTGGTGGAAGCCGATTCGATAACAACTTTTAAGAGAGAAGTAGATAATTATTTGGGGAGGACAAGTTCGCAGGGCTATGGGGAGAGAGAGGGGGGGAGTGGGAGTGAATTGGAAGCTCTTTTGAAAGAGCCGGCGCAGACACGATGAGCCGAATGGGCTCTTTCTGTGCTGTATAATTCTATGAATTCTACATACGGGGTTTGGAATCCACCTTGATTGGTTTGCAGAGAGGTAAGCGGCTGTTGCTCAAGCTCTGCACCTCCAACTGGTGAAACCAGTGCTCAGTGGATAGAGTTGTGGGCAGGAAGCTGGTGGCAATGTTCTTGCCTATTTCACACTGAGCTGTGTTGTCCACTAGGAAGAGTTCCTGGTACCTGCCGTCCACCGAGTGAGGGACCAAACTGCAGTTGTCAGTTGTAAAGTGACCAACTAATGATTTAATAATAATAATAATAATAATCCTTGCATTTGATATAGCGCTTTTCACGTCGGGAGGACGTCCCAAAGCGCTTCACAGAACACACTGTAAAGTGAATTGACTGTATATTTGTGGGCGAACGCAGCAGCCAATTGCGCACAGCAATGTCCCACAAACAGTCGTAGATTGAAAATGACCAATTTATTATTGTTTTTGGTTTTGGAGGGATTATTATTAGGCTCTGTGTGGAGTAAGGAAACTTGCCCAAGGTTTCGCCCTCTGCCTGGAATTGAACTCAGGTCTCTCGCTTGCAAAGCGAGTGCTCTAACCACTGAGCTACAGGATTTGGGGGTGGGGGGGGGAGTCTGCTGTCTTCCTTGCCAGCGGAACGGCAAAATCGAGCCCACCCTCTGTGAGGTTCTCTATCCGATTCCTAAGCCAGTCGGGTCCGCAGTTCTCCAGGGCACTGCTGCTGAGAGCCGGGCACAGCCCAGCCTCTGACTTTTCGGCAGGACTTGGAGAGGGACACATGTTCTTGCCACTTGACTCCCGTTAACCGTGCAAGCCAAACCTCCGGCAGGGAGGGTGGTCCATGCTGGACAAGCAGCGGGAAAGAACCAATAGTCAGAACCGCAGTGCCTGTGACCCACAAACCAGACTCAGTAATGAAACATCCAGTGAAACTGTCAGCAGGTACTCACACATAAACTCATCCATAAATGACTCGAACAGAAACTCACTCATACAGACTAAGCCTCCATACGTGCTCAAACACTCTCATTAATGTGCCACACACCCATGCACACCAAATCACATGTGCACACTCTCATGCACTTGCCCACTGGTGCCCACAGACACACTCTCACCCACACACGCGCGCACACTCACTCACTCACTCACACCTCGCACGCTGCCTAGACGGGGTAAGGTGATGGTACAGTGGTTTGGAATCGGAAACCGTTTCAGAGATCGCAGACATTAAAGAAAACGTTACAAAAGAAAAAAAAAACCTGTTCACTCACGGTGGGGGCGATGTTAAATTTCTCCTGGAAACGGGGTCTGCGATCCCAGCAAATTCGGCAATCTCTCGGATCTGGGAGCTTTGTGCCTGTCTGCGGTCTTGATCTCTCTATCTCGCACTATCAATCACTCTCTTGCTGTTTCTGTCTGTCTGTCTGACTGACTGACTGTTTGGTCTATCTGTTTCTCTTTGTCACACTTTTTTTTAAACTTCTATCTCTTTCTGTTCCCACTTATTCTTTGACTCCCACTCTTTGCCTCCTACTCGCTGGATCTGCCCCTGCGTGTCTCGCTCTTCGTCACCACCACACAGACTCCCTCAGCTGTGGACCAATGAAGCGAAGCTGGTAGACGTTTATTCAGGAAGTGACTTTCTGAAACCAAAAATCAAAAACTCAATAGGGCAAGAAAAAAGGTTTTTTCCAACTCAGGGCGAACGGTGTCACAGGACAGATGTAGAGATTGTTTGTGGGGGAAATCGGGTCAATTGCCTTGGGATTTTATGGAAAAGTCCATTCAACCACAAACCATCGAGCGACAGAAACCAGGGCGACCCTCCAAACAGGGAAACTTTGACTGGGAACTGCAGGAAGCTACAAATGTCAGTCAGACGGTGGGTCCGGCTGTGCAGGTGGATGTTAAAGATTCCTGTGCAAAAGGAAAAGGTTGATTTTTTTCCATGTTTCGGGGTCAACAATCCACACCCCCCCCCCCCCCCACCCCAAGATAAGATTGGTCGCTCACTTTGTGTCTGGTTGTGGGACACCACTGTGCGCAAATCGGCTGCCGGGTTTACCCATTAAATAATAATAATCTAACAATCCTTGCGTTTGGTGTAGCCCCAATTGAGTCCCCCAATTATCATGCACAGTGATTAAAATCTTGTGAAACATTTGAGCTCAATGAAGCGATGAGGCACTGTAGCAAAGGCAAGAATTATTATTATTATGATGATGTTCTGGGAAGATGACGAGAGAATGGAACTATCCCCCATTGTGGTTTTCGGTATCTCAATATCCATGAGTTCTCAAATGTCGAGGGGGGAACAAATCAATAATAACCCACGTGTTTGACACAGGCACCTTTCACATTGGGAAGAACAGTCTCAAAGCGCTTCACAAGATTTACTGTAAATTGAGGTGACTGTGTATTTTGTGGGACAACCCAGCAGCCCATTCACACGCAACAACGTCCAATGTACCACAAGTAGTTAGTGAATCCAACGACGGGCAATCAGACGAGAGATTTCGACGTGAGGCTTCAAACCTGCACTTGTCGGTTGTCAAAGGACCAACTAGTGACTGTCCTCCTTGGAGGAGGAGGGTGGGGGGGAGGTAAGCAGTGTCTCCTTGGAGCTGATCTGGCTTCAATGTGACATGTTTGGCAAACGGAAAATCAGAATCGAGCCAACCCTCTGTGCTGGTCTTTAGTCAGGTTCCTGAGCCAGGTGGGTCTGCAGTATTCCAGGCACTGCTGATGGCACCACAGCCAACCTGGTAGGACATTGGCAGGACATGCAGGGGCAGACCAGTCACTGGGGGGGTAGGTCCTGTTAACCCTACAAACCAAAGCCCTAAGGGGTAGGTAGGGGTGGTCCTAGCTGGACAAGTAGCAAGAAAGCTTGCCAGAGATTCGTTTCAATGGCAAGCTTTGTTTTAGCTGGTTAGACTCCAGCAGTACCCCAATGCATACTCTGGGGTCCCCGAGCCTCGGCTCTCGCCACCCTGCACCTAATACTCTCCGGAATTACGTAAGAGAAACACCTATTCTCTGAGAATAACCATCTCGGGTTATTCTGAGTTTGGCGTGGCTACTCTTTAGCATGGTGACGGGTTTCCGCAGGTGTCGGTCACCCACCCAGCTGACCCCCACACCCCCCCCCCCCCCCAACCTCCCCCCACCCCACACAAAAAAAAGTGACGAGGCATTTCATATGGAGAGAAAGAAAGGTGATGGTTGGCTCCTGTAACACCCTGCGCATCTCTGAAAGACCGTACGGGTTAATCTCTGCAGAGTTAGAGTGAAGAGTGAGAACAGGTGGATGAAAAGTAGGACAGGAAAATAGGTTAGATCAGAGAGAGTGAAAGCAAGGAAGTGGTCACGCACCAGCCTAACGTCTCAGCCTCGTACATCACTGAGCTGTTTACCATCACCTTCGTCTTTGAAACTCTGCCACCTCCACACACAAAGATAAAAAGATGAGCTAATTTTGCAAGAAGAATATCAGACGACTATGAGATCAAGTGACCTCAAATCTCTGAGCCAACGTGAAGACGGTTATGAATAATAATAATAATAATAACAATAATCGTCACATTTTGACACAGCGCCTTATCACGTCTTCGAGACGTCCCAAAGCACTTCCCGGAATGTACTGTGAAGCGAATTGACTGTATATTTTGTGGGCGAAACGTGGCGGCCAATTGCGCACAGCAGCGTCCCGCAAACAATTGTGGATTGAGTGGCCAATTTATTATTATTATTATTCTTTTTTGAAGGAATTATTACCCCCGGAAAAGTAATCAACCAATCGACTAACAACCGGGTTCCTACTCGGCGCCTTATCTTCGAGACGTCTCAAAGCGCTTCACAGAATACACTGTAAAGTGAATTGACTGTATATTTTGTGAAAATTCTACTAGAAAAGAGAAGGGAGTCTCTCCCAGCGTCACCGCCTTTTGTGGGGCAAACGGGCTGCTGCGTTCACCTACCAATACATAGTCACTACACTTTACAGTTAGTAATGTGATAAAAACGCTTGCATTTGACATAGCGCCGTATCACGTCGTCGAGACGTCTCAAAGTGCTTCACAGCTGCAGATGTGTGTGCTTGCACGCTCCGTCTCTCGGTGTTGCTGCAAACCATGCAAATCACGTGGCGTTCAGAATCATTAATAATAAGAGAGTTCCTCCCTCCCCGTATCCTGGCCAACAATCCCCCCAAATAAAACCGATTCGCGGCTGTTTCTGGGGCATTGCTGTGCTCAAAATGGCTGCTGCATCTCCCGACAAGATACAGTCAATCCACTTCACGGTGATATCCTGTGATAAGAAGCTATTTCACAAGCAAGGATCTTATATTTATATAAGGGAGGGGCGGTGGGGAGGTTGCGATTTACAGTGGGTGATGCCCAATGGGGTGGGGAGGGGAGGGCGAGAGGGATAGGGGTGAAAAGATGGAAGCATAGGCTCGGTCGAAGAGTTTGGTTTAAAGGTGAGAGAGATTGAGAGAGATAGAGAGATAGAGGGGGAGTGAGACAGAGCGAGATAGAGTACCTTAGATCCAGCAGTTAGGGGTGTTGAACTGGAAAGCTTAGGCACCGATGCTGAACAAACAAACTCAACAGCCAATTTGTTTAAGTCACACACAGAACCTACCCGGACACCTACACGATCACGTATAGTCTTAAGTACTATCTCTAACCCACCCCACATTTTCATGAGGTGATACGTAGTTACCTCTGAACGTACATGAGACATTGCCATTTACACAGCTGGAGGCAGAGAATAGGTGTTTCGGTTTCTAATCTTTCTCGAAAAAGGAACTGCCCAAAATAATGAGATTATTTTTTGATGAGCAGCTTCTCCAAGCCACGTTCAATTGTTTTGATTTCCTGTGTAAAGCTTGATGCCGTCAGTAGCTCTCCCCCCTCTAAGCCACAAGGTTTGTGTGGGTTCAAGTCCCTACGTCAAGACTTGGAAATATTTTATTATTGGTTTAGTTTGGTCAGCCAGGTGTCTGACACGTGCAGAAACCCATCACCATTGCTTAAGAGTATCCAAACCCAAGCTGAGATTTCCATGCATCCCATCTACACACGGAAATTCCAGAGATACCCCATTAGGTTGGCAAGAGCCCAGACTTGGGGACCCCGGAGTGTGCGTTGGGGCAACTGCTGGAGTCAAACCAGCTAAGCCCTTGTAGCCGTTGATATTGCTGCCCGGCAAGCTTTCCCGCTGCTTGTCCGGCTAGGACCAGCCTACCTGCTAGGGCTTTGACTTGCAGGGTTAACAGGAGCTGAGTGAGTTGACTTCCGGCCCCCAGTTACTGCTCTGCCCTTCAGGTCCTGCCGATGAGCCAGGCCGGGCTGAGCTGTCATCAGCAGTGCCCTGGAATACTGCGGACCCGCCCGGCTCAGGAACCGGACTAGAGACTGCCACGGAGGGTTGGCTGAATTCCGAGCTTCCGTTGCCAGGCACGTCACCTTGGAGCCAGTTCAGCTCAGCTTAGAATTACATAGTCTAAGGTGCCACTTGAATACAGTGCTGAGGGGGGGAGGGAGAGGATTGCATTATCGGAAGTGCCGTCCTTCGGATGAGACACTAAACTGTTATCGAATTCTCGTGAACTCCTCTGCGCCCTTTCCAGTGCCTTAATGTCCTTCCTGATGTAATGTGCCCAGAACTGGATGCAGTACTCCAGATGAGGCCTAACCAGTGTTTTGTATAGATTAACCATAACCCCTACTCTTATACTCTCTGCCCTACTAATAAAGCTCAGTACACCAAATGCCTTTTTTACTGCCTTGTCTACCTGCCCACCGCTACCTTTAATGATTTGCTTACTTGAACGCCCAGATCTCTCTGTACGTTCAACCCCCCTTAAGATTGAGCTGCCAAGTCTATATTGCCTCCGATCATTTTTCCTCCCTAAGCTCACACTTATCCACATTGAAATCCATGTGCCACATGTCAGCCCATTCCACCATTCTGTATGTCTGCCTGCAGTTGGTTACAGTCCTCCTCGCTGTTTACTACCCGACCTCACTTTGTATCATCTGCAAACTTGGAAATAGTGCTCCCTGTGCCCAAGTCCAGATCATTAATATATATTAGAAAGAGCAGTGGTCCCAATACCGATCCCTGGGGGACACCGCTGCACTCCTCCTTCCATTGCGAGAAACACCCATTAACCACCACCCTCTGCTTTCTGTCACTCAGTCAGTTCCTAATCCAAACTGCCACTGTCCCCTTAATATCGTGGGCCTCTAATTTTTGGATTAATCGCTTATGCGGTACTGTGTCAAAGGCCTTTTTGAAATCCATGTAAATAACGTCCACCGCATTTCTCTCATCAACCCACGCAGTCACCTCTTCGAAAAATTCTATTAGATTTGTTAGGCAACATTTGCCTTTAACTCCCTCGACACTGTCTGTCCATTAGGGGATTCTCAGCGGATAAGATTTATGATCAGTTGACATGCAAATTTGGATAAAACAATTGGAAATTCCCATCAAAATGTTGACAGATTCCCTCTGTTTTTCTCTCTCTCTGTTTTTCTCTCTTTGAGTCTATTTACTGATGAACTCCTGAACCTAAGAGTATCACAAGAAGCAAATGAGAAATGACTGTAATCAGGGAAACTCTGGGTACTGCTGCGAACAACAGCACAGCCCTTATCATGTGTCTTGTGACTTCCTCCTTCGTGTCTGCCAGGCTACGCTTTCTCAGTACCATGACATTTTATTAATAATCTGACTGCAAGTAGACCCTTAATCACAGGTGATCTCTGACACCGAGGGCTCCCACATCCCCTTTTCACATGGTCACTCATTGGAATATTAATGATGATACTAATAATAATAATCCTTCAATTTGAGAGGACCAGGGTTCGATTCCCAACCAGTTGGGCAAGTTTCCTCACTCCGCACGCCTCTGTTTACCCATCAGTAAGTAAGAACCCGGTTGTTAGGGGATAGGCAGATGGCTTTTCCGGGGGTAGTAACTCCTTCCAAAAAAAAATTGGTCGCTCGATCCACGGCTGTTGGTGGGACGCTCCTGTGCGCAATTGGTTGAATATGACAGTGTATCCTGTGAAGTGCTTTGAGACGTCTCAAAGACGTGATAAGGCGCGGTATCAAATGCAAGGATTCTTCTTATTTTATTCTTGTAATACCTAACACCTCAGAGAGATCACACCAGGTGCCCTGGTCACTGTATTGCGGACCGTGGCTCAGTCGATGTCAGTGTGACACAAGGACAACGGTTTCACGACAGGCACTTGTGATCTCACACACGCTGAGAAAGCGACCAAGACAACAGTGGAGTTGAGCATCCAAACCGAGCTGAGAATTCCTGACCTCCCTCCCGCACGTGGAAATTACAGAGATAGATTGTTGGAATGGAATGCAAACTCTCTCTCTCTCTCTGGAGAAACGTATCCTGCTTACCTAATTCCGTAAAGTATGAGGCACAGGTTGGCAAGAGCCAAGGCTGCTGCGTTCGCCGACAAATACAGTCACCACACTTCACAGTAACATCCTGTGAAGAGCTTAGGAGAGGTATGTTAAGCTCCGCACAGAGCTTGAACATCAACAGTTCAATAGCAATAATCCTTGCATTTGATACAGCCCCTTATCACGTCTTCGAGACGTCTCAAAGCGCTTCACAGAATATACTGTAAAGTGAATTGACTGTGTATTTTGTGGGCGAAACGCAGCAGCCAATTGCGCACAGCAGCGTCCCCACAAACCGTCGCGGATTGAGTGACCAAATTATTATTATTGTTATTTTGAAGGGATTATTACCTCTGGAAAAGCAATCCGCCAATCGAATAACAACCAGGTTCCTACTTACTGTTAGGTAAAGAGAGGCGTGTGTGTGTGGAGTAAAGGAAACTTGCCCGAGGTTTTGCCCTGCCCGGGAATCGAACCCAGGTCTTCTCGCTTGCGAGAAGAGTGCCTTTACCAATGAGCGACAGGACTCTACTGTAAAACCAAATGAATCTGAGAGGAAAGACGAGATTGGAATAAAGCCGGAGCTGCTGGAGAACATCCTGCAGAGAATTCAGTGTAAATCACATTATCTTGAAAAGCGCTATATCAGATGCAAGGGATTATTATTTTTATTATTATTCTTCTTCTTCTCTAATAATCATTTTCACAGTCACTTTGCATGTTGTTGTGACTGTCACGAGCTGTCAGACAGTTGAGTCATCGCCACAGTGGTCTGAAATCCTGGGAAGACCCAGGAAAGGTCATTGGCTGCAAAACAGAAGTGGTTTTGTGTAACTTGGAAAGACCCTGACATTATTTGCCACTGAGCCTTCAGTCAGCTCACAGGCTGTTCGGTTTCGGATCCTTTAGGCGCACGCGCTTCAGATTTGGGGATCTGAAATAACTCTGGCGAAGGGTGGTGGTGGACCCGAAATGTTGACTCACTCTCCTTTCTCCATAGATGCTGCCTGACCTGCTGAGTTTGCCCAGCTCGCTCTGTTTTTGTATGAATGCCGTGCCGTTAGCCACACAACGCTGGCACTCTCTCCCTCAATCCCTCCGCCTTGCTCAGTCAGACTCCGCCAGCTTCGCACAGAGCTTGACTCGAGGCCACGAGCGCTACATAAATGCAAGCTGTCGGTCTCAGTTTGGATCTGGGCTTGTTGATTGCTCTGCGTTCTCACCCGATGAGACCAACTCGCTGGAGACAAACCCAATTGTTTTTCTGAACGTGTGTTGGCAAACGATTAGAAACCTTGCGTCGAAACCACTAAACCTTGCATTTTTTCTTTACCCAGAGAATAAAAGAAATAACAAGGGTTTTTTTTTTCCCCCACCGAAGAGCAACTCATTTATTGGGTTGTTTTTTTTTTTTACAGACAACTTAAATCACCAGACTTGCTTGTTCCATGACCTTTGGGGTAGAGACCACATGAGTAAAACCATTGCCTGATGAAATGTTATTCGATTTTGTTTTTCCACTTGAGCCGGAGCATCTCAAAGCCGTCGAAAGGTAACCACACAGTTCTCACCTGTGCAGTTAGGTGTGCAAGTATCTCTCTCTGTGGCTTAGATCACAAAGGGAGCAGCAGAAAATCTCTGGGCGTTCTGAGTGAGCGACTATCAGCTCGAGTGCAATGCAGGTTAAGCCCTCAGAGATCAAAATTACAGTAACAACTTGAGATTCGCTAGCGCCCAGCACGACGGGCCAAGGTCTCGGAGAGCTCGACGGCCAGAGGCTGACCCTGAGCTGGGGGTTGGGGGAGGAGTGGCGAGAGGGGAGCTGACCAGATCCACAACTGAGCATCTTCAGTCGGGATCTAAATTTACAGTGTGGTCCAATTTGTGTCTCAGCAAAGCCTCCCCCTCCTTTATTCTTTGAAGGTCTTGAGAGCAACCCCGTCTGCGCCTGGTGCTTTGTCCTGTGTAATTTATTTAGTATTCCAGCGCTCCGAGACCCTACCCATTCGCAAAAAGCACGTGTGAGTTTGAGTTGTTGTATCTCCCTTCCTCCCTATCTTAACCGCTGTGAATTCAGTCCCTGCGCCATCTCTCTACGATGCCTACATTTTCTTTGCCGATCTCTTTTGTGAAAACGAGTCCATGTATTTATTTAGTATTTCTTTGGCAACTCTCGTGAGCCTCTGGCATTCGCCCATCTCTCTTCCTGTATTAATACTACTAACTAATTATAATACTCCTTGCATTTGGTACAGTACCTTATCACGTCCTCAAGACATCCTCACAGGATATATATAAGTGGATTG